AAAACACATGCATGCTTGGATTTTCTTCTAGCCAATAAGATAGGCCAATTCTTGGTCTCATCCAACTTAGTTCTGTTCTTTTATTGTCAATTTGAATCCACCCACAACAAAGAAAAATATGAAATGTTTTTTAAATATAAAATATTTTTATTTTCGTGTTTTTACAACTAAATTTTTCTTACCTTGTATGAATGCTAAAGTTCTTGCATATTAAAATTCCTCATTTAAGATGAAAAGAAATGCGATTTCTTCATGTTTATGTGTGAGAAAAAAGAGGCAAAGTGGTGAGGAAGAGTGGGAGTGTTACGTAGCATGGTGAGGAAGATGGGTGAATGAGTAAGGGAATCTCTTTGAAGCCTTACTGTGTTGTGAACTGTTGCCGTTCCTTCCTTCCTTCCTTGCTTTTCTGGCCTAGAGACTTTGCTTATATACTTTTCAAAGGGATCCCAAAGCATATTTTTCATTGTTAGCAGGAATGTGACCTATTGGTTGAAAATTGTTTAATGTCTAATTTTTTTTTTTTAAAGAATTAATTTAAACACCAGAAGGATGCGAGGATCCTTCAACTCTCAAACCATTTTTTTGCCATTTGATGATTGACTGTCTTGGTGTTCATTTCTGTTTTCATTTCACACTCTTTTAACGTGCTGATTTTGGTAAATACAGGTGTCCATATACAACATTCACAGAAAAAAAGTGTGATAACTATGGTAAACTTAGAGGCACTGTAGAGTAATGGATAGTGACTTGGATTGAGGATTCAGAGAGCAGTTTGAATTCCAGTCAAATCCATTACATTAATTTATGTGCTAATACCCTTGGGAAAGGTATGAATCTTTGTCTTCTCCCAACAGCTATGGGTAAATAGCAGGACAGACTGGGTTCTGTAGCCTTGGATGGCAACTGGTCTACGTCAGAAAGAAATGGCAACCTACAGTGGGGGGAAAAAATCTGCCTCGTCAGTCATATATCGAAAGATACATGATCACTTAAGTGGGTATCATGCCTGGTACATAACTGAAATTTAAAGTGAAAGTACCTAAATTTCAATAAAATTACTGGGTAGTTAAAAATTATGTAAAAAAGATGCTCATGTTATATTCCTCAAGTAATTTTTACAGATATGTCCACCAGAGAAAAAAACTAGGTAACCTGTCTGACAGTCAACATGACAATCTGTCAACAGTTTGAATAAACTTCTACCTCAGTGTTAAAAAATGCATTTCTGTGATATTTTAAACTTAAAGTAATATTTATTTCAAATAAGATTTATTGAACTTTAAGTTGACTAATATTCCTCGAACTTTAAGTTGACTAATATTCCTCAAATAAAATTTCAGAAAAGTATATTTTATGTTTTGAAAAATTTTTTGTAATAAGGAGAATGATGATGGGTAGCTAAAAATGACCCTAAAAATTAGTGATTTTTTTTTTTTTTTTTTTTTTTTTTTTTCAAAACAAAATCTTCCAGTTAAATTAAGTTTTGAAATCCAGCAAAGTATTTTGTTTACTGTATTCGTTTGAAATTAGAAGTAAAATAAAAGCTTCAAGAAAGATTTTTCATTTTCAAAAATTAATTTTTAAACCTTAGATATCACATTTCTGTTGAGGTATCTACTATTGTCCCATGCAACTAATCTGGACTAATTGAAATTCCCTCAAGGATTCCTAGATTTACAAGCTCCTGAAGAAGGCTAGAGGGCATAAACAGCTGAAATGTTTAATGACAAAGATGAGGATATTAGTCCAAATGTAAATAATGAATGATAAATTCACATCCCAGAAAGTCTCAACAATATATTTGTTAATTACTCTGTTTTTTTTTTTTCTGTTATTATTTTCAGTTAATAAGTTTTCTTTGTTACTCAATGGTCATAAATAGATTTTTATCTTTTTTTATTGCTCGTACTTTTTTTTTTTTTTTTTTTTTCTGAGTGCCATTGTTTTCTTTCATGCAGAGTGACATAGAAAGTCCAGACTGGTTTATTGCTTTTAAGGACAGACTTCAAATTTAATATTTTACTCTAGGTAGGCCAAGCTATAGTACATTTAAACGATTCTCAATTTCAAAAACAGCCATTTTTTTTTTTTTGTAATGACAGGGGTTCCATTTGAAGTGATAATATTTGCCATAAATTCACAATTTTAAAATTAAGTGGTGTGCGTATATATATATATATATATATATATATATATATATATATATATATATATATATATATATCTATTTATTCAAAATTATAATATAAATGTGATAACACCATCACTTGATAAGACACCAGAAGTGTTGAAACAAAATGGCTATTTTTGCAGTGATTTTATAACATATTTGTTATAATTTTTGAATAAATTATATTTTCTCTACTCTGTATTGAGCACTCTTTTAAGAATAGTATTTGTTGGTTATTGGAATTTAACCTACCTACCACAGTTTTACCTAATGGATCTTCAGGGTACACTTTGCTCTACTTAGTGTATTGCACTTTCATGTTTTTACTTAATTTACTTGTTCGTGCAGTGCTGATTGATTATTTTTAACAAACACAGGTTTGTTTAGTCTTTTCTTTTTTTTTTTTTTTTTACTGAAATTTTTTTCCCTGATATCAATTTGTTCAAATATATTTTTATTTACAAATTGTATTATGTTTTTTTTTTTTTTTTTTTTTTTTCACACCATCTGAGTATAGGTATTAAAATAATATATAAGAGAGAGAAAGAGAAAAAAATATATTATTACAAGTAAAAGGTTTCTTAGTTGAATGATGTTACCTTCAGCGTCCTGACTCCAGAGTTTTGCAGATGGACCCTCCAAGAATTACTCTATGCACTCATTGGGGTTATCAGCAATTGACAGCTTATACTTCTCAAATTTTTTTTTTTTTTTTTTTTTTCATGGTGTATGTGTGCAGACATGTAAGTGGACATTGACATCAACACTCAGAGCCAACACTCTGCTTCATGCAATCATTTTATCATGAAACACTGTGGCCTCTAGGTGTTGACTTAAATGTCCACTTTTATATTTACATATGCCCTATCTTTGATATTGAGCACTTTAACCTATAAATATAGCAAACTTTAAAAGATAGATTTTATCATATATATTTTGGGTGTGGGGGAAAAATACTCTCCCTACACACACTTTTATTTTTTTATTTTTATTTATTTTTTTTTTTTTAGCTGAGCTTGATAGAATGATGTGGACCTAAAACCACCAAACTTTCTTGCGGGGTGGACTGAAAGATCTTATTTACAGGCTCAAACCAAAACAATTTCTGAATTAAAACAAGCAATTTCTGATAAACTTTCTGAAATTAATGTAGAAACATGTCAAATAGTTTGTAGAAGTGTTCCTGACAGGGTGGCGGGCAAGCATTCTTCCACTGAACCATTGATGCACTAAGTGTTCCTGATAGGGTTCAGCATTGTATTGAGCATAAAGAGCATTTTGAACATCTTAGATAGTTTGTTAGTCATAACAAGTCATCTTGTTTTAATATGACAATATTTATAAACTTTCTTAAACTACTGTAACTTATTTCTGTTCAATAAAATTTAACAAAAAAAAAGGGCACAACTTTTTTAATAAAATATTAAGTGTAATCTTGTTCTACAGAAGAATGCTGAGTATCCCATGGACTGAATGTGTGAGAAATGAGGAAGTTTTAGAGAAAATGGAATACAAAAAGCACATTGAGAATTGGAAAGAGCCAACTGAAATTTCTATGGGACATAATGAGGAAAGAGGGCTTGCAGAATTTAACACTCACAGGACATATTTAATATGAGAGATCATGGAAGGCAGCAAATAACCTACCTAATGAGCTTGGTTGGCAGAACAGGGATGAGGAGAGTTAGTAAAAAAAACAAACAAAAAAACCCTTACTAAGAGCATTTAAATGATAGGAAATTGTGGAGAGCCTTGATTGTTGACGTCCTGAAGATTAATAGTGAAAATTTAATAATTCCCTGATTGAGAAATCTTTAAAAAATGGGGTATTTTTTTTTATACCGAGTTGTAAGTCCAGAAGAAGTAGTTGTTAAACAGGTAATATAACAAAGCCTAGATTTTTTTCATTTTTTGTTCTCTCTCGATTACCTTTATAATCTTTCTACTCTATTAAGCATGATGTATGCTAAATATGGACAAAACAAAGTCAGCTGACAAAGGGTGTATTGTAATTTGTATAAAACTCGATAACTTGGTTGTTGAAAAGCTTTACACAAGAGACAATGGCATAGTGGATTAAAGTGTTGGCTTTTTTATGTTCGGAGTCTCTCATTGGGTTGACCCGATTCTCTGTTACATTCGTGAATTTGGTGGTATAATAATTGTGAATTCAATCCCTAGGCCAGGTAGGATAGTACAGGCTTAGACTCAGCATTAAAAAAAAAAAAAAAAAAAAAAAATGGTGAGGGTGACAAGATATCCCTAGACATGGATGGTGGAGGAAGAACAATCTGCCTATGTAGATTAAATAAAGGGTTCAGTTCAAAGTTCCTTTCATGTTACCCATATTGACAAACACCTGAAAAAAGAGGTGGAATCATACCTAATCAGAATTTGATAAACAAGGAATATAAAGTGGGGGATCAGTTCTATATTACAAACAATATTTAAATTGTTCCCTCACTTTGTGTTTTTTTTTTTAGTTTCTATATATTTATATTTAAGGGAATTTAAATAAGTCTAAAAGAGATGCCTGTGGAGATAATCAGTATTTTATGGATTGATTTATTTTTTATGTCTTATCAACCCTTTGCAGGTTATTTAAAGCCAGAAAATATTTTTAGAGTGTAGGATTTTTTGAGACAATGATTTTACTGATACAAGTCCTACTAATTAATCCATAGCTAGGAGAGAAGAGCTGGATTCATACCTTTCCCAAGAGTATTTGCATGTAAGTGAATATAATGAACTCAACGGGAATTGGAACTTGGTTCTCCAATCAACAGTTTGAAGCCATTATCTGTTATATCACCTGCACATGAAATCTTAGAGCACCTGGTATTCCCAAACAGTCATCCATCTAGGTACTGACCAGGTTCAATGTTGCTTAACTTTTGTGATTGTATGGGAACCAGTGTTTTAATGTGATATGGCCATAAGTTGGATTTATGCTTTTACAAGGACATTAGTGCAAAAGTGAATGCAAAAGATTAGGCTGGTATTTGAACTTGGTTCGCCAATTCCCCTTTTAATGTTGATAACCATTACTTGGTGTTTTGTGATAATCTATATCTATCTATAGCTGGCCACTTGTATTTGAGGATACCCATCTACTAGACACGGTTGTGTTTATTCAATACCCTTAGACCCCAGCTGTGGTTTATACTGCAACTATGCTGAGCAGAGTTAGTTTCTGCATTTAAGTATTGCATTAATATTTAAGCTTACCTTTTAAAAGTTCAATGATAATTCTTCTGCCACCACTCAATTTAAATACAGTTTGATGTATGTAGGTCCTTACTTTCTGCACAGACCATTATTTTTATTTCATGGGTGACTTTTGATGGATTTTGCAATTAATTTTGATTCCCAAATTTATTTCCGATCAATTCACCCCAAGCAAGGCAATAAACCCACTAAGACACTAGGAACTACTAGGAATGAAAGAGAATGAAGAGAGTTTAGAAGGAAAGGGAAAATTAATCCTAAACATGGAACAAGGAATAAATATCTACTTCTGTTCAAAAATCGGGGAGGGGACATGATCCAAAAGATAGACAAGCCTATCCTCTCCTTCTGAGGAGTAGAAGAGAAGAAAAAAAAAAAATGGAAATAAATAATTAGGGAATAATATTAGGTACCAAGACTTTATGAATTTAAGTGCAGTACTAGGGGGGGGGCTGGGTTAGCCCCAATGATGTCAGTAGTGGAAGTACTTATGATTAAGTCAAATTTGTATATTTTCTTTTTTTTTTTTTTTTTTTTTTTACCTCTGATGGTAGTGGATACTGACATTGTTACTTAAGATTTAGTCAAATTTGTATACAGTTGCTTAGAAACAAAAAATGTATATTAATATAAGACAAAGAGGATAAGAGAGTTAATAATAAAAGCATTATCAGTATAATTTTTTCAACTAATTGTTCATCAAATATTAGGTCCATGAGCCACTCAAGATAGAGGGTTGCTGATTGAGGTTGATACATGTGAGAGGATGAGTTTAAGAGGATATGTAGGAAAGATAATTTAACTCTAGGCATGAAGGGGTTAAGATCGTATTGATTGGGAAAGCATCCTCTTGGGAGTCGGTTCCATGAAGCAGCTGTTCTTAGCAAGAAACAGTCTGAATGGAACTTCCTTTTTACTAACAGAATTTGAAGGGAATGGAGAATATTTGTCCCATTATATATAGCAGTGTGGGTCCCTAACTGTTAAGCTCAGGGCTAGTGGAACTAAGGAATGTAGCTTGTCAGAACATTTGCCATGGAAATAGTGATAGATTAATGACAGACTTGTGATGTTTTAGCATGGAAAAGACTGAAGACTGTGCATCTCCAGCCCAGATATGGTAGCACTATTTTTTTGGTCTGATCTGGTGCTTGTCAAGACAGAGCATAAGCGAGTAGTCAGTTACTTATTGGAGCATTTCAAGGAACCAACCATTTTTCCTGGATCTTTAGAGATGGTTCATATATATTCCATTTGAGGTTTGGGCTGAACTTGAATCCCAATAGATATTAAAGCCAAGGTGCCTCCTTGAGAGAATAACTGTTCATCATAATAATAATAACCCATGAAGTGGAAGACTATATTGAATCCATTGGTAGGTCAGCTGCTAAGAAATTTGGTTCACTGTTTCATGTGACACAGATTCTGGAGGGAAAAATTATCTTGCATATCTATGCATCTACTATTCGTCCATGCTTAGAATATTGCTGACACAGATGGTCCGGTTTCGCTGCTATTTACCTTGAGCTCCTTGATAAAATCCAAAGAAAAATCAGCAATATTATTGGTCCTGATCTGGTGGCTCAGCTTCAGTCATTTTGCCACAGCCGTAACGTTGCCTCTTTGTGAATTGTCTATATATACTTTTATGGTAAGTGTTCGAATGAGCTCTTTGCTATGGTACCTAGACTTTTTTAATTTAAGTGCAGTACTAGACCAGCATTGAGATCTCATCAATTTACAGTTGAGCTGGCTAGATGTAGCCATAAATCCTACAATAACAATTTCTTTTCTTGCCTTCCAGTTCCATGCTTTCCAGCCAGTTTTGATCTGCAAAAATTTAAATGCAATTTCAATTGCTATTTACTGTCCTCCTAATTACTCTTTTCTCTTCCTACTCATTATTAATGTTTCTATTCCTAATTCTTCCACATCCTGTAACCCCTTGTCTGAGTGGCTTTACTGCCTTGCATGGGGTGATACAGATTTTTATTAAAAAAAATAAAAGTGAAAAATTAATATCATTAATGAATTATTATCATCACGAAATAGCCAATAGATACTTGATAACATTCAGTAAGGAAGCTGATACAATGGCTGAAGCCAATTTTGTTGTCATGGAATATTGCTCGGACTAAAAACCCATATTCTGATGGCGAATTTGTCAAGAATATAAAGTTGTTGCAGTGGTAGATACAAATAATACAAAATGTTGGTGACTAAAAGCACAAACACCAATTTCCCCACCACACTACAGAAAGGCATATCTCTTAGATCAGTGATGTCGCATGCAAAATGATTTAAACAATTCTCTTGCATTCAGCTTAGTTCTTGATGAATCGACAGACATACAAAACAACCCAGAACTGGCAGTATTTGTTCGTTATGTTTCCTCTGATGTAACTGTGAAAAAAGAGATGTTGGACTTAGTGACATTAAAAGAAACAACTCATTGTGTTGACATTAAAAATGCGCTTGACAGAACCTTAAAAAATGCTGATGTTCCACTGAATAAACGTGTCCGTGCTGCAACAGATGGAGCACCTGAAATGGCAGGAAAAATTGTAGGATTAATTGTACTTATGAAAAATAATTTCAGCTTTCCAGAGTTTCTCTCTGTTCATTGCATTATTCATCGTCAACACTTGGCAGCCAGATACTTCAAGTATGAGGATGTTATGAAACTTGTCATTGAGAAAGTTAATTTTATACGCTTAAATGGGAAGACACCCTGACAGTTTAGAAACTTTAGAGTTTGAAGATAAACTCACTGATGTCTCTTTCTACTGCATTGTGAGATGACTGTCAACTAGCAATGTCTTTGAGTAGGTGTGTGGGTCTGTTGAAGTTTATTATTATTTTTCTTAAAGAAAAGATTCTATCCTTAACTTGGAAATGATGCAAGATCTGATGTTCCTTATTGATATAATGAATTATCTACAAACTCTCAACTTGACACTCCAGGTGAAGAATAAGATTTTCTGATCTTATGCAGACAATTTTCAGCTTTCAGAATAAAATAAGAGTTTTTCAAAGTGACACATTGTCAAGAAACTTTGGTCACTTTCCCAATCTCAGTGGGAGAGTAAATTCTTTGATATTGAAATAAAAGCCCATAAAACTGGAAGAATACACAGATAAATTACAAGGACTGCTTGATAATTTCCTAGCCATGTTTGATGGCAGCTGAAACCCTGCCTTACTTTTTTTGTAAATCCATTCATGTTTGATGTGGTCAATGATGCGTGTCCAATTCTTGAATATCTGGTTATGGAATCATCTGATGTGGAAATGGAACTAATGGAATTACAAGAGGACCTGGGTCTTAAGATGATCTATAAATCCCACTCTACAATTGAGTTTTGGAAACCGGTTCCAAAAATAAAATATTCTGAATTAAAGAAAACTAGTGTGTGGCTCATCTCAATTTTCAGCACAACTTACTGCTTTAAATCACTGTACATTGTAATGAAGTTTGTGAAATTAAAGCCTATTGCAGTCCTTACAAACCAACGCCTGACAGAGCTAATTCATACAGCATATCAGCCAAATTTTCACCAACTCACAGCCAAGACAGAGACTGACAAGATTTCTACAGTAACAAAATTATTTTGAAACATATCGCTACATTTTATCAACAAAATACGAGGGTGACTTCTGTAGACTTCCCTCACATACACACTTATACACTTACGTGAATTAACGTTACCGTTGTACATACACCTACACACAAGTGTTTCTTTACTTACACACTCTTACACTATTGCACACTTTAACATCCTAAATGTTCCTCACACATATTTATATATTGTGTTTATACACGTGATGTGTGTCTGATCAGTGAGAACTACCAAAAATCATAACATTCCAGTAATCTGTCTCCTCACTTTTTCATTTCTATTCTTGGTCTCTGATGAAGCTGTAATAAAGGTGAAACCTGTTAAATTGAGATATGTTTCCTACTTTGTTCTTTATTTCATTTATATATATATATATATATATATATATATATATATATATATATATATATATACACAGCAAAAAATCCCAAATTACCTCATGTGGGTAAAGATCTATTTCAGCCAATGCAAAGGACATTGGTCTTATTCAACCCTGGTGGATGGACTATATATCAGAATCAAAGATTTGAAATTTAACTTAGCCGTTGAAAAATTGATACCGAATATACCCATATCAAATTGATACTGAATATACCCATATCAACATCTCAGCCAGACAAAATGCCAGAGATGGTGGCAAGAGGAGGGCAGAAGGTATCTGCCTAAAAGTGTGTGTGTGTGTGTGTGTGTGTGTGTGTGTGTAATATATATGAGGGAGAGGGGAACAGGAACCAGTCAACTTTTTTTTTTTTTTTTTTTTTTTTTTTTTTTCTTTTTCTTTTAGATATAAAATATTACATCTGTCCCACAATAATTGTGACATTTAGTGCATGAAATGTGTATGCAACTGCAGTAAACATTGTGAGACAAGGTAATGAATATGGATGTCTCCTAGTATTTGCGACATTTTGTGCATGTGTCACTCTGTCACAAAGGCATGTTGCAAGCAGAGAACAATGCTGCAGAGTTAAAAAAAAAAAAAAAAAAAAAAATGGCAACGATGACAAGAACTGACTTTCAGTGTCTGTACTGTACCGGTTTCTGCACCGCTGGAATCAGGTTGCAGAGCCTTCTGAGAATTCACAGATGA